CATTAATAAATAGCTTGCCTCCCACAGTCCAAAGATGTGCAGGTCCGGTGGATTGGCCATGCTAAATTGCCCATAGTGTTCAGGGATGTGTAGATTAGGTGGATTATGGGGGCATGGGTCTAGATGGGATGCTCTGAGGGTTGGTGTGGACTTGTTGGGCCAAAGGGCCTGTTTCCACACTGTAGGGATTCTATGATTTATGAAACTCTGGACTAAGTGGAATTATACAAATTTATTTAAACACACCTTAGGGAATCCCCTGTGGCATTGATCACAACTCATGTAGAAATTTGTAACCCAACATGGTCCTTCACAGCCCTATGCTTAACTTCTGCTCATATTAATTCAATCAGGTGGAAATTTCTTTTGGTAAAATTGCTTGGAAATGATTAGTTTCCTGAAAAAGGGATACCAAAAAATTTAGTTTATTTGTAGCTGTAAAATTTATGCACTTAGATTATCGAAACAATTTGAGCTAATGAATGTGACATTTGGAATCTAAAAGCAGTTCGTGGTAGATCACATTTTTAAAACTTGTCTTTTCATTTTTGCTTCATATCCAGGTGGTTTCCGGGGAGGCGGTGGGGGTTTCAGAGGAGGCAGAGGTGGTGGAGGAGGAGGACGTGGCTTCAGAGGTAAGGGAAAAGTGCTAGCAAGTGTCAAAAAATTCCTGTCTTTACCTTCAGTATCTTGCAATCATCTTTTGTTGTTTTGTTACTGCAATGCCAAATTATTGCTCGTTTTTGTGATGCTGGGTGTTCAATTCAGATAGAAGAAGACTGAAGGATCAGATTCAATCAGCCCTGGAATTGGACACACTGATCGTGCTGAACGCTTTGATTATTTGTAGGAATGTTCCTCCTTTCTCTCATATAAAAATGAATACTGTAGCATTCTGAACAAGCGAAACTTGAAAAGTAGGATTATTTTTACTATTCATAATCAATTGAGGTGTTTTAGTAAAGTACCTCAAGTTTGAAACTGGAAGGTCATTTTTCCCATCTAAGCAGTGGTGACTCGTACCTAGATGAGTCTGAAACTGATGCCCTGTTCTTGTTCTTTGCATTATAGCTCTGTGTCCTACTCTCCTTTAGGCATTTGTCCAATTGTCTTCATAAAGAAATTTATCCTCTTGCTCATCTTTTTTGTTGACTGTTTTAAATTGATTAATTTTTGTCAGTATTTCCCTTTGGTTTAGGAGTCAAACATCAGTGGTGACTCAGTTCAGAGTTCAGTGCACTTTCAGAAATTCTATAAATATCCACTTATAACATCTCAAATTCTGCAGACCTTTCAAAAGCTTTATCTACCTCTCCTTGCTTTTTCAGGGAATTACATTGTGAATGCCACACTTGCTAATCAAGTCACATTGTTCATCTATGGCCTTCTGCAGCATTTTGTTGCATGTATGCTCCAATTTCTTTGTTTTTGTTACCATAATGAATTATTTTACACTTTCAATTGCATTTGCCACTCACCCCATATATTCCATTAGTCTGTCTATCTCTGAATCTTTTATAATTCTCTTCGGTGTTTGCAAAATCTCTGACCAAATCAATTATATATGCTAAGAATAAAAGTAAATCCAGCACTGAGCTGTCACGTGCAACCCCTCCATGCTTTCTTTTAGTGTAAATGATCAATAATTCTAACACTCTTATATGCCTGTATATTTTAATTAGACCTTCTGTGAGACATCTTGTCAAGTGCCAACTAAAAATCCATTGCTGCATTGTCTTTATTTATCCAGTCAGTTCCTGCCTAGAAGTTCAAGTTACAGTGTTATAGTTCCCCCCATCTGACCACCACTGTTTACTCCCCTGTATGTTATTCTCTGGAATATGTTGGGTTGAATCTTGGAAGGCAACCCTCAACCTATCTATACATGTATTTTTCTGTAATGGATCATTGTTGTAAATGTACAATATTTTCCATTGCATTGTAGCTTGTCATGATTTGCTTTTGTTGTTTCTGACTCATATGCCGTTATTTCCTCCAACAGGTGGAAGAGGAAGGTGAAATTACAAATATTTGAAGATTGAACAGCAACCTCCAAGTTTACCACTTTATTCCTTATTTTACCAGATATGAACTGTGTCAAGTTGAAGTTTTTATCCTTAAAAATGTGATTTATTGCATGCAAGATATTTTTGTATTATTTGCATTGTAATACATCACAACTGTGTGTTTGATACAAATGCGTTTGAGGGTCCATTGTGTCACTTAGAATTTGTTTGTACAGTGATAGAAATATCAATATTCTTATCGAACAAGTTCTGAATATATTTGTACACGAGTGCAAAGGATGTAAGTTGCATTGTACTATGCAAATTGTACAATGATCTACTGATTATAATAATTGGTCTACAAAATAGTACAGCTTGAGACGATATTTCAATGTGATATTTGTTTGAAAATAAATGTTTTTACAGAAACTTGTGAGCCTGTAAGTTATTAGCTGAAAACCAACTGACTTGAGACGATGCACTGCGCAGGTAGCCAAAATTGAGGGTTCAATAACTTGGACTATTTTATTTATAAATTAAATAATGGGATGTGGGCATCGCTGGTTGGACCAGCATTTATTGACCATCCCTAGTTATCCTTGAGATGGTGGTGAGCTACCTTCTTGAACCACTGTTGTCCATTTGACAGTGCTGTTGGAGAGGGAGTTCCTGCATTTTGACCCAGTGACAGTGAAGGAATGGTAATTATATTTCCAAGTCGGGATGTTGAGTTTTCATAAAACCTCTGAGCTTTTTCAGTCTGTGGCAGCTGAATGGATCCCCTGTAAAATTTGATGCTCTTAGGGTCTTTTTGGGTACGTTTAAAACAAATTGTCATCTAGCCAAGCGAACATAATTGGTAAGTATATTTTGTATACAGTAGCAAATCTCGTCTTGGCACATCAGTCACTACAGAATTGCTTTATCTGGATACAATACTTGAATCTAACAAAATGAAACTGCGAAAAATGCTTTTTATAATTGGCAGCATTTAACTCTGGGGGTGGAATTTTTTTACATATCTTATGGCTTATTTGGGTCCATGATCCCAAACCGACGCACTAAACTGATTCATGAACCTTTGAAAACTAGAAACCGTAAACTGCACGTTTAGAAAATTCCGGCAGCTGAATTAACAGATCTACCTTTTTAATATTGTTCCTTTTGTAACTTTGGAGCTTTTCAACCGTTTTTATCGTGAATTATTTTGATTCTAGTGACATATCACTCCAGGCTGAATCACAATTCTCCCTTACTTCTGTAAATCCTTGGTGTGTATGCTTTTGGTAAAATAAACCTTGGCGGGAAAAAAACAAAATAAACCCAATCTGATCATTAGTTTTGGCTCCTGGATCTGCCTCCTTAAGATTTTGTTCCAGTTTTCAAAAGCAATGCAGCCTTATTACTATGCATAATTTATGTGAAAAATATTAGGTGAAATTATGAAATAGACAAACGCATAAGTAACAAACACATCTGCGCATGTTGGCAGTAGATACCCTTCTCTCTAACTGAGGAGGAAGTAATTACAATATTTAAGGATTAAGTTTGTTTCTTAACTACTGAAGGGATCTCATTAATCTTAGTGTTTATGGGAATTCACAATAACTACTTCAATTGAAACTGATCAAACAGATCTTTTGAAGCTGACTCTTCAAATTGCACAGAACAGATTATTTTATGTTCTGTAAAAGTGTTAACAAGGTTTTCTGGATTTCAAATATCTGGCTATGTAAACTTGAATAGGCTCACAGTTATATGTGGACTGAACCAGTCTCACAGCTTTATTTTAAACATACAGTTATTTCGGCATTTGTCTTGAAACTGCTGAAAATTCACACATTTTTATCAGAATAACTTAGGTAATGGGATATTATTTTTTTTCATAGTTCAAGATTGGAAATAATTTAAACCTTCACATGAAAAGCATTAGTGATGTTCACTTTTGAAATGGAAAATTCATTACTGGAAATAGCAAGATTCAAGACAATGGGAAGAGTAGACTGTCAAATGTAATGTGTCCTTTCCCGCTATCCACAGTTACTTTCTCCTTTAATCATTGTCATGTGCTAAAACATCAAGGCTGGGCTTGGCAGTATGCTGAAGTCCATGATCATATTTCCTCTTGCACTTCTCTCCTACATAAAAGCAGAAACAATTGGAGAATTCAGTAGACAGTAATTAGGTCGGAAAAAGCAGATATTCAGACATGTAGTCAATGTATACAATCATACAAATATATTACTTGATATCAAAAAATAGAATTATACAATTTCATCCTTTTGAGGAAAAAGACGGGACCAAGAAGTCTTGGATGTGGATCAAACAAGTAGGTGTTCAGAGACAGGAAACCAAGGCATGTTATCTATCTTATGGAAGAGATCTTTAACAAAAATAGAAATGAACTTCTTATCTATGGTAATGACTTGGAAATATGAAAGAGGACAATCAGCATATTAGTAAATTGAAGCTTGTAGGATGAACAGAAAGGATTAGTATTGAGGGTTTATTTTTCAGCAGATACTGGCACTAGTACTGGGTCACTGAGGTGCTGTACTGATGGAATGGGCTCCAACTGAACCAGAATCAGACCAATGTTTTAGCAAAAATATTAAATAGGAAAATGGCAAATTTTTCAAACTAGTAAGAGGTAAGAATCTGCAAGAAGTAAAACAAACCTAAATAAGACTAAACTAAGGATGGTATGCTAATAAATGAGTTCTAGAAATGAAGTTTTAAAATGTGGGTCAAAATAAACTCACAAACTGATATTAAGAATGAATTAATTCGTCTGTATTACCGTGCACAGTATTCAAATAAAGGAAGGTAACTGAAGGTAAAATGTTGAGCAATCAGATATACTAGAGATAATTAATAGACATTTATACAGACTAACACTGGAAACTAAGCATTGAGGAGTCTTTTATTTAGAGAGTTTAGGGGGTGCAGGAGCTAATTTATTAGAGGTAATGGCAGCAGGAAAAAGCTAAAGCAACCAGTTGGAAGAATTATGTGAATAGAGATTAAAAAAGGATCAAACAAACATGAGACTGGAAACTATCCCTAATAGTGGAAGGTGCAGGAAGAAATATGTAATAAGATTAGCAAAAATGAGTTTTTTTTTAAAAAGTGCTTTAATTACCCTGAAATAAAATGGCTAGATAAGGTAGATGAAATTGTTGAGAGGACGGAGTTCGTACAATGTTCAGTGGACTCCTTTCTAACCCAATAATAGGGAATGAACTGCAGCAGAGAAATAGAAATAGGGGAACACCAAGGACTTAGTGACCATAATATATTCTTTGAGATCAGATGGTCAGAAGATAGAAATTTTGCAATACCTAACTCACCTCCTGACTCTTCAGATGTGTGTTAGAATATTTGATACTTGCCTGGATGAGTGCAGCTCCCAAAGACAAATTCAAGAAGCTCACTGACATCCAGAAAACAGCTCACTTGTTTGGTATCCTGTCTGCTAGTTTAAACATTCCCTACACTGCCAGCGCACTATGGCTTGTGTGCTGTTGATAAGATGCGTTGCAGCATCTCCCGTAACAATATGGGCACACAAGGCAATGAAACAGCAGAGAGGCGCATATGAAACAATATCCAATTAAAATACATATTCCACTAAAAAAAACTACCAACATTGATGAGATACCATGAATCAATAAAATACTAAAGAGAAAACTGAAAGTAAAAAATGGATCACACAAAGTACCTTGACAGTAGTATCAGAACTTGACAAGGACAATTAAAAAAGGGGGGGTGGGGGGGAAGGCAAATTTGTTGAAACTGAAATTGTTAAGGAATAAAAGCCAAAATAGTAAAATATGAGCACATAAATAAAACGATACATTGGGATGGGAATAGGCCCATGAAAGGATTGCATGACTTAAAATCTAAGACATTAATAACAAACTAGCTAAATATAAAATGAGTTGGGATGTCATCTTGTGGCTGTACAGGACATTGGTGAGGCCACTTTGAGAATACTGTGTATACTTCTTGTCGCCTTTCTATAGGAAGGAGGTTGTTAAACTTGTGAGAGTGCAAATTTGCAAGGATGTTGCCAGGGTTGGAGGGTTTGAGTTATAGGGAATGGACTTTTCTCCCTGGAGTGTTGGAGGCTGAGGGGTGACCTTATATAGGTTTATAATATCATGAGGGGCATGGATAGAGTGAATAGCCAGCATCTTTTTCCTAGGGTAGGGGAATCCAAAATTAGAGGGCGTAAGTTAAAGGTAAGAGGGGGAAGATTTAAAAAGCACCTGAGGGGTAACTTCCTCACACAGAGTAGTGCGTGTGTGAAATGAGCTGCCAGAGAAACTGATGGAGGCAGGTAAAGTTACAAAGACATCTGGATGGATATATGAATCGAAGGGCTTAGAGAGATATGGGCAAATGCTGACAAATAGGACTAGGTCAGATTGGGATTGCTGGTTGGTGTGGATGAGTTAGACCAAAGGTCTGTTTCCACGCTTGTGAATCTATGACTGAAGACTAGCAAATGTTACACCCTTATTCAAACAAACATATGAAGATAATCACAGCAGTTACATATTAGTCAGTTTAACTTTTGTGGTGAGGAAAACTGCTAGAAACAATAACTTGGGACAAAATTTATCGTTACTTGTGGAAATGCAGGTTCCTTAATAAAATCCAGCATGGATATTTCAAGGAAAAATCAGGTTTAACTAACATTCTGCATTCTTTTTTTCATTAGGTAACAAGTGAGTGTTGATGAGGACAATGCTGTTGTGATGTTTATGGATTCCAAAAGAGGTCTAATGCAATGCCCTAAAACAGATTTGTGAGCAATATTATAGCTCAAAGAATAAAAATAACAGTAGCAATGAGGATACAAAATTACTTTGTGACAGGAAACAGAGAGTGGTGATTAATAAATGTTTCTCAGGTTGTTAAAAGATTTATCATTGTGATCTGCAGGGGTCAGTGCTGATACCCTTGCTTTCTCTGATATATATTAATGACATAGACCTTGGTATACTGGGCACAATTTTCAAGTGGATGACACAGAACTTGGACACATTGTGAACTATAAGTGTAGAACTTCAAAAGGACCTAGACAATGCAGGAGGGAAGTATACGGTAAATGGCAGCATCCTTAGAAACGTTACCATACAGAGTAATGTTAGCATACAGGTCTACAGTTCCTTGAAAGTGGCAACACAAGTGGATCAGGTGGTGAAAAAGGCATATGGCATGCTTACCTTCATCAGTCAGGGGAAGGAGCATAAGTATTGGCAAGTCATGTTGCAACTGTGTGGAACTTTAGTTAGACCACATTTAGAATATTGCATATAGTTCTGGTCAGTACACTACCAGAAGGATGTGGAGTCTTTGGAGATGGTACAGAAAAGATTTTCCAGGTTGTTGCTTAGTTTGGAGGGTATTAGTTAGGAAGA